TTACGTGTCTCGCGCACGGCCTCAGGTGAGACACAGGTGTTTACTTCTTCTTCTTCTTTTGGAGTTTTATGGCGGTTGGCAAACAAACGATAGGTGCATTCCCGCCACCTACTGGGCTGGAGTGTGGACTATTGATGGAATAGGAAGAACTGAATAAAAAAAAATAAAAACATTATATAATAATAATAGAAAACATTTAAATAAAAAATTTAATCCTTCTAAATCCTGTTAAACAGATCTACTTTTTTTATGAATGTCATTAAAGCATTATTATATATTTTATAATGATTCAAGCCATTATTCAACAAAGTTTTAAGTTTAATATTTTCCATCCCTATTTCTTTTAATTCTTCCAACAGAAATGCTCATAAGCAGAACAGCGTAATAGTGCATGCTCTACTGTTTCTGGTAATCCACACAGACTACAGTTCCCAGACTCATGCTTATTCATTTTATATAGAGAAGAATTTAAAGCAGTATGGCCAATGCTAAGTCTGGTAATAATTGTATCTTCTCTTCTACTACCAAATTTAACTCTTTCAACCCCAACTTGAGTTTGAATATGATCATACGGTGGCCGAGAAGTGCAAAGCAAATCACAATTCTGAAAACAAAAGATGTCTTCCTCTCTCCTCCGTATTCCAAACTTCTTGCCATCTCATTCTTATCGCTGTTCTAAGTTTAGCCTTAACTTCTTCTTTGCTTAGTGGTATAATAATTTCTATATGTGATCATTTCAGAGCCTGTTTTGCTAAATGATCCGCAACCTCATTTCCATCCACTCCCACGTGTGCTGGAACCCACAGGAAACATATCTTAATTCCTATCTTATTCACTTTATACATACATAAAAGAATTTCATACAAGATGTCTTGGACATCTCCCACTGATAAGACTTGGTCATGCAGAGAACGAATCTGAACATATCCTACACGGAATTTTTCACTTGTTGAGGCTTGATTTAAACTCATCTGAAACAATTACAGTTATGAATCAGAATAATTGAAGGTTTTACCTTCATTTAATGTAGCTAGTATAGATTTCAGCTCTCGGTTTTCAATATTATAGTGCCATCTGATGTTATGGCTCACACATTACATGCAGGGCTCCAGACCAAAAAAGAAAGAAATCGTAGGCTAGCCTACTATAAGAAACAAAATCAGGTGCCAAATTATTATTTTTTTAAGTTTCACAGAATGTTTTATTTGTGTATTTATTTTTTAAACACTTTAACCTTTCAGTCATACTGTCATGTGTTTATGACTCATATTTTCTAGTCTTTTATCATCATTTTAATAAATCTTGTAGACGTCTTGGGAACTAAGGTTCACTTAAAGTGGGAACTAAACGTCTTTTCCAAATTGAGAACTATATACAGTCACAAATAATTGATTATTACACAGAATCTGTGCCAATATCATAGACCATAACTATGTATGTCAGCATCACTTGACCCTTGAGTGTAGTTTGAGCTCCTCCTCAATGCATCCTATAAAAGCTGTCATATTGTAGTATGTCCTGCACACATCCAGTCTGTTTTTCTTCATTAGTAACATGCAGTTATATAGGAGGTGTTGAATTTTATCCTTAGCTCCTAGCATTTTTCCTTATCATGTGGACAGCAGGTTAAGTAAGTAACGAGGCTGAATCCAGCTTCTTATTGACGCTATCCGTTCCACCTTAAAAACGCGACGCTTCTGCGTTTGTAGCGTTGTGGCTCAATTTAGGGACTGTGCTGATTTTCTCTTTTTTTCACGACTTTAAGGGACCGTGTTGTTTTTGTGGCTGTTTTCAGAATAAAATAATAAAACATTATCTTTAAACGCAAATAACACTGATATGTCATCTAAAATGGACATTAAAAATGTAAATGCACATAAATATAATTACAGTATTATTTAATTAGGCTACTGAATGTGTCATCAGCTCGACTTAGGGACCGTGCAGTTCTTCTCTTATTTACGCTTTTTTTGTATTAAAAAAACACATCAGGATCTGTCTGGAATAGGCTAAAACTGAGCAGAAAACTTACTGTCACTTTTGATCAATTGAATGCATCCTTGCTGAATATTAATTTATTGGGGAAAAAAACTAAAAACAAACAACAACTACAATAAGTCTTAATGACCCCAAACATTGGAACAGTAGCATGTAAGTTTTGGATCGTTTATGTTAAACTACGAATGACAAGAATGTGTGACTAGAAAAATATGGTTTCATTTTCAACTTACAATAACTTTGGAAACAGGGTTAAACAATGAAGTTTAATAAATGCTACAACACTAATCCAACTCATACAAAGCATTACTTGTAGTTTACTTTAACATTGCCTGCAGACTGAAGCGACCTATAGGAGAGTGTTGTTTTCATCACATGTAGCTATAGACAGGTCAAACATCAAGAGTGCAACAACAATGACAACACAAATCAGCTACTAAGGAAAGTAGGTTAACAGTCAGGTGTTAAGACTAAACCCTGAGGTGCCGATAAAACAAGCACAGACATAAAGACAAGCACAAAGAAACAGACAGCGGTGAGTTAAGCCTCATAAAGCATTACAGCTGCCGTTCTTTGTGGAAGCAGATGTGGAGTGAATGTGAGCACTGAAAAACAAAGTGGCAGGTGCACCGGCGCAAGGAGACGCTCATGTGGCTGCATGTTCATCATGTGTATTTCTGCACCACTGTGTCACTAAAAGGCAATGTTTGAGGCAAATACACCTGCTTTCAATAGAACACAATATCTCGTGTGAGGGCACATGCTTTTAACAGATTTTTCAAAAGTATTATTAAAGGAATAGCTCGCCTAAAAATGAAAATGTGCTGAAAATGTATTCATCTTCAGCCCATCCAAGATGTAGATGAGTTTGTTTGTTGATAGGAACAGATTTGGAGAAATGTAGCATTGCATCACTCGCACACCAATGGATCCTCTGCAGTGAATGGGTGCCGTCAGAATGAGAGTCCAAACAGCTGATAAAAACATCACAGTAATCCACACCGCTCCAGTCCATCAGTTAATGTTGTGTGAAGTGAAAAGCTGTGTGTTTGTAAGAAAAAAATCCATTATTAAGAAATTGTTTTTTTAACATTTTTTTTTTTTTACATTTTTGACATTATTAAGTCCTCATTCCATAATATTTTTTAAAAATAAGGACAAAAATAATATAACCAGGGTTTTTATTTATTTTTACTTCCTTACATTTAAACACACAAAATAAATAATTCCTCTTACTCTCTAATAAATAAAACACACACACATATACTCCTCCCTATTTACTTCTATAATTCCCTTTTACACAGAAAAGCCACTGCAGATCTTCAAATAGCTGCAATATGTTGAGAGCTCAGCAGCTGGTCTGACCTCCAGCAAAACACGGGTCAAGGGCACACAAACACAAACACTAAACCATCAAATCCCTGGCAAATGTCTCCACCCTCCCTTAATGCTCTTCATACAAGTATCACCCAAACATGCATTCATGCTTGCATGAGCCCATATGGTGTCTGTTTGGTCTCATGTGTAAAAAAATATATAATTTGCTTTCAGTATTTATGTTTTGTAATTCTGCAGGTCTCAGGTGAACTATGATTTGATCCTAATTTGCAATTTGCAAAGTCAAAAGTTTATTATGACTAGTTGCTACATTTTGAAATAGTAGTGAAGTCATTGAAGCTACAAAATAAAAAAATATGTAAATAAAAACTACTGTATTTGTCTATATTTCAGCTCTATTCACATGGATGCTCTGTTTTCACTATTATCTGCCTTGTGAAGAGAACAGTAGACTGTTTGGTAGAAATCGCACTTACAGCTTCTTATGTCTCCAGTGAAACAGCTGCTTCTCAGCTTGAAAAATCTCTGTCCGATGTTTCCAGTCAGATTGACGCAGTATTCGCCTCTGTGCTCAGAAAACACAACGGACGTCTCGCATGTATTAGGCCACAGCCATATCACTCTGCAGCCCAAGACCGGTTGCTCGCTGGAGCTAAGCAGGGTTGAGTCTGGTCAGTACCTGGATGGGAAACTTCCTGGGAAAACTAGGTTTCTGCTGGAAGAGGTGTTAGTGAGACCAGAAGGGGGTGCTCACCCTGTGGTCTGTGTGGGTCCTAACGCCCCAGTGTAGTGATGGGGACACTATACTGCAAAACGAACCGTCCTTCGGATGAGACGTTAAATCGAGGTCCTGACTCTCTGTGGTCACTAAAAATCCCATGGCACATCTCGTAAAGAGTAGGGGTGTATCCCCGGTGTCCTGGCCAAATTCCCTCCACTGGCCCTTGTCAATCATAGCCTCCCCCATCCACTGAATTGGCTCTGTCTCTCTCTCCTCTCCACCTGTAGCTGGTGTGTGGTGAGCGCACTGGCACAGTTGTCCTGTGGCTGCCGTCGCACCATCCAGGTGGATGCTGCACACTGGTGGTGTTTGAGGAGATTCCCCCCTCATATGATTGTTAAGCGCTTTGGGTGTACAGCAATACAAAATAAAGCGCTAAATAAATGCATCATTCATTCATTATATATTACATTTCTTATTATGCTAAGCAAAACAATGCTCATAATTCCCATTCAGAGTACTGTAAAAAAGACCAACTCTGTCAAGACATACAGTATGTGGACCAAATTTCAGAAAATAAATAATGAAATATACTTTGTATAATTAAAATGAAGCCTGTTTTTAAAATCATTAAGATTTTTTCCATTGTAACATTGTTCTCAAAAAAAGACAGCAAAGTGCAGTAAAGTAACACAATTCTCGTTTGCACTATAATGCCAGAAAAGTGATACATTCACAGATTGTGAAGTATTAGTGGTACATAATACAATTTTTACATGATTTTTAATTATAAAAACTACTGTAAAAACAGTAATATTATAAAATCTTATTACAATTTCAAATAACTCTTTTCTTTGTGAATATATTGTGATGTGTCATTTGTTTTCACTATTATCTGCCTTGTGAAGAGCACAGTAGACTGTTTGGTAGAAATCGCACTTACAGCTTCTTATGTCTCCAGTGAAACAGCTGCTTCTCAGCTTGAAAAATCTCTGTCCGATGTTTCCAGTCAGATTGACGCAGTATTCGCCTCTGTGCTCAGAAAACACAACGGACGTCTCGCATGTATTTTGCTTCATCTCACAGCTTTCACAGGCTTCATTCCTCCCCTGTAGAGAAAACAAGAGTTACAACTATTCAAAAGAACAGTTCATTGAAAAATGAGCATTTAGTCATTATTAATGCACTCCGTTTGACTTGAGATATACACTACTGTTCAAAGATTTGGGGTTGATAAGATTTGTTTGTTAAATAAATGAATACTTTTATTCAGCAAGGACGCAATAAACTGATCTAAAGTGAGAGAAAATCAAGATTTCCACAAAAAGAGCACAGCTGTTTTCAACACTGATAATCAGAAATGTTTCCTCAGCGGCAAACCTGCATTTTAGGATGATTTCTGAAGATCATGTGACACTGAAGACTGGAGTAATGATGCTGAAAATACAGCTTTGAGCACAGCAATAAATTACAGTTTAACATATATTCACATAGAAAAGAGTTTTTTTTGGAATTGTAATAATATTTCACAATATTACTGTTTTACTGTATTTCTGATCAAATGAATGCAGCCTTGGTGAACAGAAGAGACTTCTTTCAAAATCATTTGAATGCTAGTGTACATAAATATTTTCAGGAATGATTTGATTTGAAGGTAAATACTGAAATTTCAATCTGTTCCTCACACAAAGTAATAATCAGCTACTTCCTTTTGCTTTTTTGTCCTGATTTTTTTTTGTCCCAGAAGAGAACTCCCACCGACTGAGCCTGGTTTCTATGGAGCTTATAATATGACAAAACTAACTGAATTTGTATTGAGTACATTTGAATTATTGACAAGTCTCATTTAACAAAACTGAATATTATGTGGCATTTAACATAGTTCTGAATTAGATTTTTTTTTTTTACTTGAATATTAAACATTTGAAATTTAACACAACTGAATGTTTTTATGGCAGAGTTTTATAGAAATGCATTTTCAAACAGCAATTCCTTTGTTCTGAAATCTTAGACAGCAAATATCCAGTTTTTAAAAATACAGCTTCACGTTTTCAAGATGAAGAGGAAATCAAATTCAATATTCTAAAATTCAATATGCAGAAATTCAGATCGTACAGAAAGCAGGTCAGAGGTAATCCACAGGGAAGAGGAGATGATCTCCGAAAAGTCAAACGAAGCATTTTGGCCAATTAGTAGTTTTCTGGCGTGAGCGTGTGGTTTAAGATCTACCTGATCATGAATCGCCCAGAGGTAGCCTAAGTGATTCTTAAACATTTATGGTTTATTAGGTTAGCATTCTCAGCATGTGAAAGTCTAAGTTTTCAGAATAAAAAATGTGCTGTTTGAAAAGACATGTCTGCCATAAAAATATTCAGTTATGTTACATTTCAAATGTTTAATATTCAAGTAAAACAAAATCTAATTCAGAACTATGTTAAATGCCACATAATATTCAGTTTCGTTAAATGACACTTGTCAATAATTCAAATGTACACAATACAAATTCAGTTAGTTTTGTCATATTATAAGCTCCATAGGTTTCTCCCAAGGTTTTTTCTCCATTTCTGTCACCGATGGAGTTTTGGTTCCTTGCCGCTGTCGCCTTTGGCTTGCTTAATTCGAGACGCTTGACTGATTGCACAGACACTACTGGAAGAGAGCTGAACTGGATAATGACTCATCAATGAACTGACTTTAGCTGGCATTATTGACAAACTATTTTCCTGTTTGACTGTGTAAAGCTGCTTTGACACAACCAGTATTGTATAAAGCGCTATACAAATAAAGGTGATTTGACTTGAGCTATAAATTATTATAACTATACTGAAAAAAGCTGCTGAAGATTGTTCAAGTGAGGTTTTTTTGTTTTTGGTTGAACTATTACTGCGAGCAGACAGGAAAGTGAACGTTACTTCTTCTGTTTCGATACAGTATTCCAGATTATCGTTGAGGCCGCGCAGAGCCGGTGAGTTTCTGTACAGCTGAAGAGGGTTGCTGAACTGGACGTGAAGTTTGCCGTCTTTGGGAGAAAGTTCAACCTCAGGAAAATCCAAATGACCTGAACACACGGAAGTACAGTTAGAACATAAACTTTAGTTATTATCAACATTTATGAAATATTTAGTGACATTCCATGGGTCTGTTTCTCCCTAAGAATTTGAGCTATATATAGAGAGAAATAAAGTTTGTTGGTGAATAATAATAAACATTTAAAATGTTTACATGTATTTAATTAATAATGTATTGCTTCTATAGCCTACTACTAAAATACATTTAAAATAAAATCATCTTACCCTCTGAGGCGGATTTGTGGATCAGGATCAAGACAGTGACACTGATATAGCTCTGTATCCGCATTATTGCCAGCAAGTTTTACTCTTCCAGTAAAAAATGTTACTCCTGTGGAAAGTACTGTTCTCAAGTGTAGTGAAGCACTCTGCGTTCAGATCCGTATATGAGACAGAGGCAGCGCGCGGGTTCCAGGAAAGCGGCGCTCTTGGAGATCTTCGGGGAAATGAGCAGGTTGCCAGGTTTTCACAACAAAGTAAAACTAGCCCAAAGCAAGGCGGGGGGTTTGTTGGGGGTCGCGTTCCGGAGGGGGATAATACAGGTTTCTGACGGGGTTCACTTGAAATGACGCGTGTCCAGCTCACTACACGGAACTTATTTCTATAGGCCTAGTCTTTGCTTAAACGCATTTGAAACCATTACAGCTATTTACCATTACACTCACTTGCGTTTAATTTGAAAGGTTTTAATTAACATTCATTTAATGTACATACAATAGAATTAGAGTTCAGCTCTCGAGTTACAATATTATAGTACCATCTGATGTTATATCTGTGTGTTGCATTCTGTGTCAGATATACAAGGGCTCGCAATGTTGATCAAAATTTTGGAGTGGGATTGCATCTGTCAGGGGAGGAGCCACTCAAATATCTGCAGCAGTGGCCCCACGCAATTCTCTCAAGTTTTTGCTCGCAGTTCAATATTGTTCATAATTGACTTGCACAGACAGAAATTGGGTAAATCTGGTAAAAGGCAGACAAATTCGTCCAAATAAAATAAATTGTTTTATGTATTTCAAAAATACAAATGTGTCAATAAAAAAAAGAAATTTGGCCCCAAACGAGCCAACTCATCAGCAGTGCTCAATGTACATACTGTACACACACAGTAGGATTGCAGAACTTGCCCTGAGCATGTATGCCAAGCTGTGTGTATGTGTTTTTGTGTGTGTGTTTGTGTGTGTGCGTGTGTGTGCGTGTTTGTGTGTGTGCGTGTTTGTGTGTGTGTTTGTGTTTGTGTGTGTGTTTGTGTGTGTGTGTGTGTGTGTGTGTGTGTGTTTGTGTGTGTGTGTGTGTGTGTGTGTGTGTATGTGTGTGGCTGCTCCATGCTTTCTTCTTCCCTGTCTTGTCCACTGATTCATCCACTGACTCCTCTATGGTCTCTACTTTCTCCCCTACTATCTCCCTTGCTGTCATCTCCACCTCTGATCTGACAACCTTTTTTTTACCCTTTGGTAGCCTACCCAGAATGAAATAATGCTCTTTTGCTTTTCCCCTGACATCTTTGAAACAGACAAATGCAATGATTAACCGTGTTGGGGAAAGTTACTGTTAAAAGTAATGCATTACAATATTGCATTACTCCATTAAAAAAGTAACTAGTTACGTTGCTTAGTTGCTTTTAATGGAAAGTAATGTGTTACGTTACTTTTTAGATCTGGACAGGGCTTGCTTGTTTGTTTTTAAAATAAAAAGGTTCTATTTTTGGCAAATATAAAAGCCTTTTCACACCAAAAGTGAAGTGAATAAGCCTCAGGCTGAAGGGAAAGTAAATTTACGTCCGTACAGTAGAATGCAGAAGAAGACATTTCAACACACTTCAGCAATAAAAAAAGACACACAAATGTTTGTCTAGAGTAATTTGTGCTTATTAGTACGGTTGCACTGGATCATCGAAGGTCAGAAGCAAAGACATTGGTTAATAGAATGGGATTAAATGCATAAAGGATATTTGTGTTGTTCAACATTTAATTATTGCAGGTTTGCGTCATATTCTGAGTTGCATTATTTTTATTCATTTTGAGGAATACCAAATCTGTGTTTTGTTTTTTTTGTGAGTGAGATTAGTGCATATTCATATTTATTTTAGAACTACAGTAACATCTGATTTCTCTCAACATGGGGACAGGAGAGCTGTCAATCAATAAATTGGAAACAAAGTAACTTGCGTTAATTATTTGAAAAAGTAACTCAGATATTCTCTTGTAAATTAAAAAGTAATGCGTTACTTTACCAGTTACTTGAAAAAAGTTACTAAACATAACGTAACTCGCGTTACCCCCAACACTGATGATTAATGCATTGCCAGGATGTAAAACATTACTGAAATGATAGCCAGAGCGCCCTGCTTTTAGAGCTTTTTTGATGCTTTTTGATTTCATCCAGGAATCGTAAAATCAATCCTTGTTGCCTATAACGACCGTGCTTGCACCTGCCGCTGACCAGCTACTACAATATGAGATAATATTTGCCTAGTGTAAAAACAACATTGGAGAAAAAAAATAATTATTTATATGCAAAAATTCTAACATTTACCATCTGTCGCTGTAGCAGCTGATATGGCGTCCACTGTTTTTAAGGTAAAAACTACATTGTCTCTAACACACACACACACACACCATCTGTGACTGACCCTTCACTCTGGATTGGAAGTTTTCTGCGTCACTTATATAACACATCAGAGCTGGATCTGTCTAGAACAGGCTAAAACTGAGCAGAAAATCACTTGAAGGTGATTTTGTGGGCATATGGGGGTGGTTGTTGAATGTTTTTACTTGGTTAGCAGTATTTATTTGGGACAATGAGTATCTCACTTAGAGTGTTGGCATTAAATTGAACAGATGCATTTATACTAAATACAACTAATAAAACTAGAAAACACAAAAGAAGAGGCAACCATCCAAACGAGCTGTTTCACTAAAATGATTTGGACTTCCCAGTGTTATCAATAAAAAAATAAGAATTTATAATGTTTTTGAATTGGATTACAAATTAACACATGTGTTTTCTATGCAAATATATTTTAAAATGAGATCAAAGCTGTATTTTCAGCATCATTACTCCAGTCTTCAGTGTCACATGATCTTCAGAAATCATTCTGATATACTGATTTACTGCTCAAGAAAACATGTCTTTAATATTTCCTATATATTTTTTATAGAAACCATTATTTTTTTTCCATGATTCTTTGATGAATGGAAAGTACAAAAACAGCATGTATTTGAAATATAAATCTTTTGTAATGTTATAAATGTCTTTACTATCACTTTTGATCAATTTAATGCATCCTTATTGAATAAAAGTATCAATAACCCTACTTCCTTATTGTGTGACGTTTACTTTAACATTGCCTGCAGACTGAAGCGACCTATAGGAGAGTGTTGTTTTCATCACATGTAGCTATAGACAGGTCAAACATCAAGAGTGCAACAACAATGACAACACAAATCAGCTACTAAGGAAAGTAGGTTAACAGTCAGGTGTTAAGACTAAACCCTGAGGTGCCGATAAAACAAACACAGACATAAACACAAGCACAAAGAAACAGACAGCGGTGAGTTAAGCCTCATAAAGCATTACAGCTGCTGTTCTTTGTGGAAGCAGATGTGGAGTGAATGTGAGCACTGAAAAACAAAGTGGCAGGTGCACCGGCGCAAGGAGACGCTCATGTGGCTGCATGTTCGTCATGTGTATTTCTGCGCCACTGTGTCTCTAAAAGGCAATGTTTGAGGCAAATACACCCGCTTTCAATAGAATACATCATCTCGTGTGAAAGCACATGATTTTAAACAGATTTTTCAAAAGTATTATTAAAGGAATAGCTCGTCTAAAAATGAAAATTTGCTGAAAATGTATTCATCTTCAGCCCATCCAAGATGTAGATGAGTTTGTTTTGGAGAAATGTAGCATTGCATCACTCGCACACCAATGGATCCTCTGCAGTGAATGGGTACCGTCAGAATGAGAGTCCAAACAGCTGATTAAAAACATCACAGTAATCCACATCGCTCCAGTCCATCAGTTAATGTTGTGTGAAGTGAAAACTGCATGTTTAAGAAACAAATCCATCAAGACATTTTTAACTTCAAACCATTGCTTCCAGTTAAAATATGAGTCCTCTCTCCAGTGTTTTTAAAAAAAAAATTTCAAATAAGGACAATGAATGAGCAGGGTTTTATTTGTTCTCACTTACATTGAAAAAACACAATTCCTCTTTCTTTTTAATAGATAAAACACACACACATATACTCCTCCCTATTTACTTCTATAATTCCCTTTTACACAGAAAAGCCACTGCAGATCTTCAAATAGCTGCAATATGTTGAGAGCTCAGCAGCTGGTCTGACCTCCAGCAAAACACGGGTCAAGGGCACACAAACACAAACACTAAACACTAAACCATCAAATCCCTGGCAAATGTCTCCACCCTCCCTTAATGCTCTTCATCATATGCATTCACACACAGTTGCTGTATCATGATATGATATAATAACTTCAAACCATTGCTTCCAGTTAAAATATGAGTCCTCTCTCCAGTGTTTTAAAAAAAAAAAATTCAAATAAGGACAATGAATGAGCAGGGTTTTATTTGTTCTCACTTACATTGAAAAAACACAATTCCTCTTTCTTTTTAATAGATAAAACACACACACATATACTCCGCCCTATTTACTTCTATAATTCCCTTTTACACAGAAAAGCCACTGCAGATCTTCAAATAGCTGCAATATGTTGAGAGCTCAGCAGCTGGTCTGACCTCCAGCAAAACACGGGTCAAGGGCACACAAACACAAACACTAAACACTAAACCATCAAATCCCTGGCAAATGTCTCCACCCTCCCTTAATGCTCTTCATCATATGCATTCACACACAGTTGCTGTATCATGATATGATATAAAAATGAGTGTCAAATGTTCTGAATAAACGTTGTTTTTCATTGCAGGACGTGCTGCTGTTGGGAGTAATGAGTGCAAACAGGCGGAATGAATCAACATAGC